TACAATAATTACACATATATATATATTTTTTTTGTAAAGTTCAAGCTCTGTCAAGTTGGCTGTTGATCATTGCTAGACAGCCATTTTTAAGTCTTGCCATAGATTTTCAAGCCGATTTAAGTCACAACTGTAACCAGGCCACTCAGGAACATTCAATGTCGTCTTGGGACACCATTCAAAGTGTAATTAATAACTTCACCATGCTCAAAGGGATATTCAATGTCTGCTTTTTTTTTTTGGGAAAACCTCCCTGATCTTTATGGTTGAATCTGAATCTGAAATTCACTGCTGGACTGAGGGATTTTACATTATATAATTTACAGATAATTGTATGTGTTTGGTACAGAGATGAGGAAGTCATTCAAAAATCATGTTAAAGACTATTATTGCACACAGTTTGAGTCCATGCAACTTATTATGTGACTTGTTAAGCACATCTCTATGTATTATTTGATTGCCAAAACAAAGGGGTTGAATACTTATTGACTAAAGACATTTCAGCTTTTTATTTTTCATTTTTTTAAATTAATTTTGAATACATTGTACATATTGTGTGTAGGCCAGTGACACAAAATCTCAACATAATCCATTTTTAAAAGTCAAGGGGTGTGAATACTTTCTGAAGGGACTTTAACCCTGGTATAATGTTAACTAGAGAGGTCTGGTATAGTGTTAACTAGAGAGGTCTGGTATGGTGTTAACTAGAGAGGTCTGGTATGGTGTTAACTAGAGAGGTCTGGTATAGTGTTAACTAGAGAGGTCTGGTATAGTGTTAACTAGAGAGGTCTGGTATAGTGTTAACTAGAGAGGTCTGGTATGGTGTTAACTAGAGAGGTCTGGTATAGTGGGGCGGTATAGTTTTAATAGAAGGTTGGTATGTGTTAATAGGAGGGGTTTATAGGGTTAACAAGAGGCTGGTATAGTGGGTTAAATAGAGAGGTTGGGATGTTTAATAGAGAGGTCTGGTATGTGTTTAATAAAAGGTTTGGGTATAATGTTTAGAGGGTTGGGGATAGTGTTTAAATAGAGAGGTTGGGGGTTATAGTGTTAAATAGGAGGTCTGGTTTTTAGTGTTAACAGAGGGTTGGGAAAGGGTTTAAATGAGGGTTGGGGAAAAGTTAACTGAGAGGTCGGTATAGGTTTAATAAGAGGGTTTTATATTTAACTAGAGAGGTCTGGTTTTAGTGTTAACTAGAGAGGTTGGTTTTATTTTTAATGAGAGGTCGGTTTTGTGTTTAAATAGGAGGTCTGGTATAGGGGTTTAACAGAGGGTCTGGGATATGTTAACTAGAGAGGTTGGTATAGTTTTAAATAAAGGTTGGATAGTGTTTTAATAGAGAGGTGGGTTAATGTTAAATAGAGGGGGGGTATAAGTTTAAATAAGGGTCTGGTATAGTGAACAGAGGGGGTATAGTGTTAAATAAGGAGGTTGGTTTTAAGTGTTAAGTAGAGAGGTTTGGTATAGTGTTTTAAATAGGAGGTCTGGATAGGTTAACTAGAAGGTCTGGTTAGTTTTAACTAGGAGGTCGGTTTTGTGTTTAAATAGAGAGGTTTGTATAGGTTAACTAAAGAGGGGTTTTGGTTTGTGGGTTAAAAAAGAGGGTCTGGGTTGGGGTTAACTAGAGAGGTCTGGGAGGTGTTAACTAGAGAGGTCTGGTATGGGGGAATAGAGAGGGCTGGGATGGTGTAATAGAGAGGTCGGTATAGTGTTAATAGAGAGGTCGGTATAGTGTTAAATATACTGCTCCACCACCACAGCTCCCCCCACCAATCAAAGCAGACAAAAGTATTGCAAATAGCTTCAGTGAAAAGATGGATTTCTTCTGTCAACAAATTACAGACTTACGTACCAGACAAACTGAAACTGGGTAGGTGCATGGGGTAAATTATTTACACAGCTTAATGTACCAGACAAACTGAAACTGGGTAGGTGCATGGGGTAAATTATTTACAGAGCTTAATGTACCAGACAAACTGAAACTGGGTAGGTGCATGGGGTAAATCATTTATCTTTTTTTCAAAGTTTGGAAGCATCATGCTTGTTGTATATTGTTGAAAAACAGGAAGAAACAACTGGTCTGTTATTGACTGATGCAGATGACAGGAAGAAACAACTGGTCTGTTATTGGCTGATGCAGGTGACATGAAGAAACAACTGGTCTGTTATTGGCTGATGCAGGTGACATGAAGAAACACTGGTCTTTATTGACTGATGCAGCTGACAGAAGAACAACTGGGTCTGTTATTGGCTGATGCAGATGACAGGAAGAAACAACTGGTCTGTTATTGGCTGATGCAGATGACAGGAAGAAACAACTGGTCTGTTATTGGCTGATGCAGATGACATGAAGAAACAACTGGTCTGTTATTGGCTGATGCAGATGACAGGAAGAAACAACTGGTCTGTTATTGGCTGATGGTTGTTGGCTGATGCAGGTCAAATGAAGAAACAACTGGCCCGTTATTGGTTGAATGCAGGTGACATGAAGAAACAACTGGTCTGTTATTGGCTGATGCAAGCGACATGAAGAAACTTCACAAACAAAGGTTTGTGATGTAATCGGTGCCAATTCACCTTTCATACAACGCTATTTTTGTACCCAATTGACAGAAATGTAAAACATTAGTGTGCCGTTGTCTTCCTGCTGGTTCTGGTCCTGTATGTGAGAAAAACAAAATCAGCATTTATTCAAGGAGCATCCTTATTCTCTAATGAATTACATTGAATCTTTCCTGCTCATTTTCTGCTAAAGTCCTCAGAAGTGCAATCAAGCGTGTCTAATTGAGTTCATGCTATTGCAGGTTTGATGCACAAGGTAAGTTACTCAAGTAACATGCAATGCAAATTTACTGCAAGATCACAAAAAATGTGTTGACACAAGCACATAGCTGTTGTTACTGTGGGTTTAATGTGCTGATTGTTTATCAAGTCACCTATTCCCAGAGGTGGACTGGGTGAAATTTCAATGAGCACTTTGTTAAAATCTTCTTATTTTTTTATCGCAACGCTGCAAGATTTAACAAAATATAATCCCTGATGAATTTGATCACAAAGCCTTTGCTATATTTTATTACAAAATAATACATCATGTAACAAATGTTACATCAATAGTGCATTTAAAATATAAAATATTAAAATATATATTGCAGTATAACTTACAGTAATGGTAAGAATACAGATTAATCATATAGGCTTATCTGTAGCGTTTGGAATGGTTTGCAATCAGTGTCACCAGTGACACCCGCGAGAGAGCAAAGATTACGAAATGACTGGTGCATGACAACCATAACCCTGATCATTACCATGAACCATAACCCTGATCATTACCATGACTATAACCCTGATCATTACCATGACTATAACCCTGATCATTACCATGACTATAACCCTGATCATCACCATGCCTATACAACCCTGATCATCACCATGCCTATAACCCTGATCATTACCATGACTATAACCCTGATCATTACTGTGACTATAACCCTGATCATTATCGTGACTATAACCCTGATCATTATCATAACTATAACCCTGATCATTACCATGACTATAACCTGATCAATTACCATGATTATAACCTACTTGATCATCACCAATGCGACTATAACCCTGATCATTACCATGAGCCATTACCCTGATCATTACAATGAACCAGTCATCACATCTGCCATTCACTCTCTCTCTCGCTCTCTATACAGATATATCCTCTCTCTCTCTCTCTCTCTAAGATACCATCTCTCCGCTATCTCTCTCTCTATATCTCTCTCTCTCTACTCTCTCTCTCTCTCCTCATCTCTCCTCTCTCTCTTCCTCATTAATAATCAAGCTAACACAGCCTGGCTAGGACCTGCTTGCAATTGATCAAGACTGAGCCTAGCTACTAGGCTATGTTGTTGCAAATGCCAACGTGTTAGCTAGCTTGTTTGCCTTTTATGAATGTTTTCGATTGCGTTTTTGTTTATGTGTGCGTTTTGCTCATTCAAAAAAACAGAACAATTAATACAGAAGGTGTCACACTTTCCCAGCGTATATATTTGAATTGACCGTTGATTCATAATCATGAAAATATTATTACATTTGTTGAGGGCAGATCATCTCATTTAAACACTGTCAATAACAATCGCAATATAATTACTACAACCATGTCTACTCATGATCCAATTATAACATAGTGTAGTGCTGTGTGATCCAGTAGTCTATTGTAACATAGTGTAGTGCTGTGTGATCCAGTAGTTTATGGTAACATAGTGTAGTGCTGTGTGATCCAGTAATCTATTGTAACATAGTGTAGTGCTTGTGTGATCCAGTAGTCTATTGTAACATAGCGTAGTGCTTGTGTGATCCAGTAGTCTATTGTAACATAGCGTAGTGCTTGTGTGATCCAGTAGTCTATTGTAACATAGCGTAGTGCTTGTGTGATCCAGTAGTCTATTGTAACATAGCGTAGTGCTGTGTGATCCAGTAATCTATTGTAACATAGTGTAGTGCTGTGTGATCCAGTAGTCTATTGTAACATAGTGTAGTGCTGTGTGATCCAGTAGTCTATTGTAACATAGCGTAGTGCTGTGTGTGAAAAAAAAAATAAGATGATCTCGCTCAACATTGTGGCACATACACAGTTGATTACTGATCAAAGAGTAAACTTTGATCAAAGATCAGGCTTTTCAGCATGAGTAACGACGTCAGTGCAGGACAGTAGTAGGCTATCTATACTGCCACCAAGCTTCTTGTTAAAGCCCGGCGTTAGGGTAGAGGCTAAGTGAGCTAATCAAACGTGTGTGGATTGAATCATCACAAAGCACCTTTCATCTCATCATGCTAATCAGTTAGTGATATTGTGAAGGGACTGGACATATATAAAAGGAGAGTTGGACCTTTCCCACCTTTACCTTTTTAATCTCTCCGTATCTCAGGACAGAGGCTTCTCTTGTCCCAATCCCAGGCCGTCTGACAACCAAACCAGATCGAGGACTGCTTTTTCTCCACCAGTGACAACATGGCAAAGCCAATGGTAAGTCGTATTGACCATTCATGCTTGTGTGGATACTCTTTATCAATAAAGTTACATATTGAACAGGCTTTGGGACCCACATGTTTACTGCATTGAGCTTTGTGTTGCTGGGTAAATTAACTGAAATGGTCAGGTACTTGAGTCTTGATTGTGTTTTGACAACATGGTTAAATAAAGGTTAAATAAAAAAAATACAATAAAATATTGTTATGTGCATCATATACAATATTAGTGGGACATAAACTGTAAATTGTGATGATCAAAAGCCAGAGATAAATTATTGAATAACATAATGCAAACCAAACATGACAAATTAAAAGACAATCCCTTTGACCTTATGTTCGAAGATAGTCAACCATGTGCTTCTTAACAGGAACTTGAGCTGAAGAATGTGAAGCTGAGAGCTGGAGACCAGTTCAAAGTGGAGGGGAGGATTCTGCATGAGGCACAGGGGTACGTATATTTAACTGGTTTGGTTTGAAATCACACCCAGAGACCCATCAGATTAATTTATAAGAATAATTGATCAACAAACCACCAGTTCCACAAATGTTCAATCAAAAGAATGGAGAAGTGTTGGTATACTGTATATGTGGTATACTGTATATGGTATACTGTATGTGTGGTATACTGTATATGTGGTATACTGTATATGTGGTATACTGTATGTGTGGTGTACTGTATGTGGTGTACTGTATGTGTGGTATACTGTATGTGTGAAACCAATTCATGTTAGAGAACTGCAGACATGTAGTGGGGTTTCTGGAATGATGTGTCTTGTGACTTCCTATTAAACATGTCCAGAGGTGAGTTCAAGAAGGGTTCTGTTTGCGGCGAACATGTTACTTAGTAACAATTTAAAGTTGAACGATTTGAATGAACATTCCAAAATGTTACAGCAAAACAACAAACAGCTAAGATGACTGTAATCATACTCCAAATTACTTTATATTCCTACAACATGCAATAGAAAGCCTACGTGGACACATTATTATTTGTATCGGCAGTTTAGACCCGGAACAGACACTTACGTTCGCCGTACACTACCTCCTCGGACTGTTTCCTAACGTTTAGCGAATGTTTGCGGCTAGCACAAAAACAAATATGATAGCGAATTGTTTCCCTTGTTGACCGAACCTCAGGTTCCAGATAGACCTGGGCTTTGATGAAGAGAACCTGGCGCTGCACTTCAACCCACGTTTTCATGATGCCGCTGACGGCGCCGTGCTTGTGTGCAACTCAAAGATTGACGGCTGCTGGGGTCATGAGGAGAGAGAGAAACACAGCTCCCTCCAAAGGGGTTCTACTGTCAAGGTGTGACAATTGTTGGGATGGGAAGATGGTCCTGACTGGACCAAGGAGGATGTTAGTCAGGATATACACAAATGTTTTAAATAAATGAAAATATAATATTTGAGGTTATAAAAAAAACGGAGTTTGGCAACGATTCGGATGAACTCGTGGATAGCATTTTTATGTCTCTGTGTCCAGCAGGACGGAAGTTACAGGTAGTTTCGCCAGCCAATGCTAACTTGTGTTAGCGCTAGCTTAGCGCAAAGACTGGAAGTATGCTAGCTGTACCCGAGGACTAGCAGTCTTTTTGCTAATTTAATTACCTCTCACGTCATACTGGACGATTCACTACCTCTAACCTCATACTGGACACAGAGACATACAAACAATATCCACGAGTTCACCTGACTCTGGGGGGGGGGGGGGGGGTAGATAAAGGGCTTTATTGTCTAAATCCTGAACTATCCCTTTAAGATTGTAGTTAGTTATGAGTTTCTGTGATACTGACCGCATTATCGAGCATGAACTGCAGTACATACTTTTAATACGAGATGAATGGATAATCTTGGGCATAGAATAGAGTAATGTAGTAAGGAAACCATGTATTGTATATTTTCTTAAATTCCATTCCTTACTAGTTTTTGTGTGTATTGGGTATATGTTGTGAAATTGTTAGATATTACTTGTTAGATATCACTGCACTGTCGGAGCTAGAAGCACAAGCATTTCGCTACACCTGCTATAACATCTGCTAAAACACGTGTACGTGACAAATAAAAATTAGATTTGATTTGATTTGATGTGGATATAAGAGTGGATAAATGTGTTATAATGGGTTTCTTCTCTCTCAAGATTCTCCTGAAGCTGACAGGAGATATGTTTGAAGTGGAGATGCCTAACGGACATGAGATCCAGTTCCCCAACCGTCACAGCCTAGACGTCATTACCTACGTTCGTATCCGAGGGGACTTAAAGCTCACCTCCTTTAAGATCTACTAAAGAGACCCCATAATATCCACCTCGTGTAGCCTGGCAACAAGGGCACAGACAATTTTGTTAAGTTTGCCTTTCCGACTTCCGGTGCAGTCCGGCCCAATGACGCGCAAGCAAGTGGGTGGGGCTACATATGGTGTGTAGAGTTAGACCAATGGGTAGTAAGACTGGATCAATGGCTTGTCTCAAATATGTCATATTAAAGTGTTTGAAATACTAAATATGTTTTTGTCTGTTTCTCTCCATGGTACATTTTGTTGTAACAATATTCTGACACACACTAAACATGAAGGACAACTAGGGACGAGGTTAGGATACTGTCAACTAATTACATTCTTTTACAAATACAGAAGTGTGACACACACATCTTGGCCAGATGAAATATCACTCAATGTTTTATTTGTTTTGGTGAGAAAGAGCAAACAAAATGGTTTTAGTAATCATTGAAAGAAATGTATTCTTATACTGTAGTAGCCCCCAAATGATCACATTATTACTGACCTAATCTCACGTGGACAGATTGGGTCAATTACTGACCAGAAAACAGAATAGCCATTGACTCGAGAAGCATGGCATAATTTTAAGATGATTTGAAAATGTTATTTTCTGTATACATTTAATGGAGTAAAACATAATGTGTGCATGTTATGTCATCAATAAAGTTCAGCACTATTAAGTAGTGAATGCCGTGTCTTTAGTTCCACGATAACATTGTAGCCCTATTGTCACGCCCTGGCTCTGGGGACTCTTTAATGTTGAGCCAGGGTGTTCGTTTCTAGGTTTAGTTTTCTAGGTTTATGTTCTAGATCGTGTGGATCTATGTTGGCCAGGGTGGTTCCCAATCAGAGGCAGCTGATTCTCGTTGTCTCTGATTGGGAACCATACTTAGGCAGCCTGTTTGGCACAGTTAATCGTGGGATCTTGATCTGTATAGGTTTGTGTTGGTGAACCTGTAGACTTCACGTATCGTTTTGTTGTTGTTGTTGGTTTAAGTACTCATTAAAAGATGTACGCATATCACGCTGCGCCTTGGTCCGGTTCTTACGACGATCGTGACACCTATTCCATACATTAAAATAACATTAAAAATCTAATTTCTCCCAAGCTTCAAGGCTTTCGATAGATACAGCTTTAAAAAAATTTTTTAAAATAAAGAAGAGATTCCTCCATTTGAGTGACTCCCACTTCTCTGGAATGTGTTTTGTGTGTGTGTGTGTGTGTAAGTGTGTTTTGTGTGTGTGTGTGTGTCTTGCTGGTTCACCTTGATTCTATGAAACTACATCTTTATTAGAGGAAACACTATAAAGACTTGATGAATAGCCCTTGAGGGAACACTATCTGGTGTGCTCCTACACACGGCAACAGATTTTCCTGAGTGTGAATTGGAAGGTGGGGATCCCACTGGGTTTCGGAGCGGAGAAGTTATGGAAAGACCATGTAAGAATCCAAGCTAGGCGTGTAATCTCTGCTATCACCAAAAAGGAATTTCCTTTAGGTGCCTGATGTTCCTCAGACCCACTCCTGTCCTGTCCTGTCCACCCTCCCAAACGGACAATATATCACGGGCCATGTCAGAGGTTGTCTCTCAGAGTGACTGCAGCTTCAATTACAAACCAGTTGAGAATGAGGCCTAGTCATCCATCACCGCCAGCCCATGGTCGATGAAGATCAACTCCTGCTATGACGTGAAGCTGGGATTTAAACAACTACATAGCAGCAGCGATAACACAGATGCCTGCTGTAAACAGGACCCACGACTACACACACAGAGACCCAACAACATTGCAGCCTTTTTAGAACCACGACTACACAGAAGGCCTGGCTTTCTCACTCCGACTCACTCTTACACAATCCTACACACTCCTGCACACTCCTACGCAGAAAGCCAACCTATACACATATAGACAGATCTTTAAATGGTCTGCTCACTGTGGTCAGCCCACTGTAACTGTAAGTTGCCCTTACATAATCGTACTGAATGATAATGTGGATACTGTAACAAACCCAATGAAATACTTTAAAATGGTCAATTTTACAATTAGAGTGTCCGATGAGCATGGCACTCTAATGATTTTCACAGGGCACTGTTAGCCTGTCAGTCAGGCGGTATCTAGGTGAGGCGTTTGCTTCAGTACCACCTGACTCTAACGGAAGACGCTTTGTTTTCGCAAATCGTTTTCAAGTATGACAAAAACAACGTGCCGCAAATCTAAATAAATGGAAATGTTTTAGTTGTTACCTTGCCTGTGTCAACACACAACTGTGTCATTCACAGACAACTTGGGTCTCGTTGTAAATGCGCTCATTAAGGAGTTCAGTTGTGGTGATGGAACGTACAGGAATATGAATGCAGGTTGAGGTGAATGCTTCAATCTGTCATCTGTGTCACGAACGTTGACTGATGACTCGTGGAACCAAGGCGCAGCGTGATAAGCGTACATATTATTTAGTACACAAACACACGAACAAAACAACAAAACGAACGATACGTGAAGTCCTGAGGTTACAACAATACAAACCTTTACGGAACAAGATCCCACAAACTAACTGGTGCCAACAGGCTGCCTAAGTATGGTTCCCAATCAGAGACAACGAGCCACAGCTGCCTCTGATTGGGAACCACCCTGGCCAACATAGATCTAAACGATCTAGAACAAAAAACATAGAAAACTAAACATAGAAACTAACACCCTGGCTCAACATTTAAGAGTCCCCAGAGCCAGGGCGTGACAATAGGGCTACAATGTTATCGTGGAACTAAAGACACGGCATTCACTACTTAATAGTGCTGAACTTTATTGATGACATAACATGCACACATTATGTTTTACTCAATTAAATGTATACAGAAAATAACATTTTCAAATAATCTAAAATTATGCCATGCTTGACAATCTGACAACACAGTAATAGAAGATATGGATGGAAGACGAAGAGTTGACAGAAAACTGAAGCAGCGCAAATAAACAGCGCCAAATAAATATTGCAGATCTCTGTTTCTGCACCCCCTCTCTCTTTTTCACTCTTTCGGCACCCCAGAGCGGAGAGAGATAGTAGCGAGATAGCGCGATAAGCGCGCGAGCGAGAGGAGAGAGCCGGCGGCGAGATCGAAAGGGTCGAGAATAGCAGAGACGAGTGCTACTCTCTCTCATCTCTCTCGTCTCTCATACTCTCTCTCTCTCTCTCTCTCTCTCTCTCTCTGTACCCCTTCCCTCCCACTCTCTTCCCTCCCTCTCTCTGTGCCCCCCCCTCTCCCCATCTCTTCTAGCGACAACAAGGGGAAGGTGTTGGAATAATTCAGCATTGGAACATCTTACACACAGAACAGCAGTCTGCTTTCCTCAAGGAAGCTTTGAGCTGTTTGTGTGGCGCAAATATGTTTTGGGTAAAAATACCGCCCAATTCCCCTAGCAACAGCATTGGCCTATCAGGCCCACTTCACCCTCTTTCATTACTTATCGTCCCCTTCGTCACTCCTTTTCTCTGCAACCCTCCCTCCCCCGCGGTCGCTACGCGCACCGCGCGCGCTCAGCGTCCACGCACCGCGACGCCGGGGCCCACCTCACGCTGCGCGTGCCCAGCACCGCGCGCGGGGCCACCCACAGATCTGCGCTCGCGCCAGCACCAGAGCGCTCGGCAACGCTCACAGCGCGCTGGGGCTCCACTCTGCACCGCGCCCATCGCCACAGCACCCGCTCGCTTCGCCACGCTCAACTCGCTTGCTTCGCCACGCGCACAGCCCCCGTTGCCCACGTCACCGCCCCGCTTCGCCACTCACCTCTCTCTCGCATTCGAAACGCACACGCCGCGGACTGAGCCACGCGCACCGCGCGGGCGGGCGCCACGGCACCGCGGCGGGGGCGGGCGCACGCGCACAGCGGGCGCGTCGGGCGCCACGCGCACCGCGGATGGCGGGCGGGCGCCACGCGCACAGCGCTCGCGCGGGAGCCACGCGCACCGCGCGCGCGTCAGGCGCCACGCGCACCGCGCGAGCGGGCCACGCGCAACGCGCGCGGCGCCACGCGCACCTCCTCCGGTCCCACACCCCTCTTCGCGCCACCCACAGCTCTCGCTCTCCAACTCACCTCTCCCTCTCTTTCTCCACTCTCACCTCTCTCTCATTCTAAACTCACACCTCTGTCTTTCTTTCTCCACTCTCACCTCGCTCTCTTTCTCCACTCTCACCCCTCTCTCTCTTAATCCACTCTTACCATTCTCTCTTTCTCTACTCTCACCTCTCTCTCTTTCCCCAATCTCATCTCTCTCTCTTTCTCTACTCTCACCTCTTTCTCTCCTTTCTCCACTCTCACCTCTCTCTCACCCTCTCCTCTCTCTATGTCCTCTGGTTAATGAGAGGAGGAGAAGAGGAGGAGAGGAGTGAGCAGACTAGAACTAAGTCAGGTCTGCATTCTAATGACAGTATGGTCTGCTGACACCACTGACCCACCAGCTGTTTCTCCCCCTCTCTCTCCCTCCCTCCCTCCCTCACTCTCCCTCCTCCCTCCCTCCCTCCCTCCCTCCCTCTCTCCGTCTCTCTCCCCCTTTCTCTCTCTCACACCCTCTCCCTCCTTCTCTCGCTCCCCCCCTCTATCCATCTGTCTATCCCATAATAACCCCAACTGCCTGATGACACAATTACATACTATCCTGTAAGAGAGCAGTCAAATCAGCCACAGTGTTATTCCACCAGGAGCCTGGCTGACAGACCACAGTGTTATTCCACCATGAGCCTGGCTACCAGACCACAGTGTTATTCCACCATGAGCCTGGCTACCAGACCACAGTGTTATTCCACCATGAGCCTGGCTACCAGACCACAGTGTTATTCCACCAGGAGCCTGGCTACCAGACCACGGTGTTATTCCACCAGGAGCCTGGCTGACAGACCACAGTGTTATTCCACCAGGAGCCTGGCTGACAGACCACAGTGTTATTCCACCATGAGCCTGGCTACCAGACCACAGTGTTATTCCACCAGGAGCCTGGCTGACAGACCACAGTGTTATTCCACCAGGAGCCTGGCTGACAGACCACAGTGTTATTCCACCAGGATCCTGGCTGACAGACCACAGTGTTATTCCACCAGGAGCCTGGCTGACAGACCACAGTGTTATTCCACCAGGAGCCTGGCTGACAGACCACAGTGTTATTCCACCAGGAGCCGGCTGACAGACCCACAGTGTTATTCCACCAGGAGCCTGGCTGACAGACCACAGTGTTATGCCACCATGAGCCATGGCTGACAGACCACAGTGTTATTCCACCGGGAGCCTGTCTGACAGACCACAGTGTTATTCCACCATGAGCCTGGCTGACAGACCACAGTGTTATTCCACCTGGAGCCTGTCTGACAGACCACAGTGTTATTCCACCATGAGCCTGGCTGACAGACCACAGTGTTATTCCACCAGGAGCCTGGCTACCAGACCACAGTGTTATTCCACCAGGAGCCTGGCTGACAGACCACAGTGTTATTCCACCAGGAGCCTGGCTGACAGACCACAGTGTTATTCCACCAGGAGCCTGGCTGACAGACCACAGTGTTATTCCACCAGGAGCCTGGCTGACAGACCACAGTGTTATTCCACCAGGAGCCTGGCTGACAGACCACAGTGTTATTCCACCAGGATCCTGGCGGACAGACCACAGTGTTATTCCACCAGGAGCCTGGCTGACAGACCACAGTGTTATTCCACCAGGATCCTGGCTGACAGACCACAGTGTTATTCCACCAGGAGCCTGGCTGACAGACCACAGTGTTATTCCACCAGGAGCCTGTCTGACAGACCACAGTGTTATTCCACCAGGAGCCTGGCTGACAGACCACAGTGTTATTCCACCAGGATCCTGGCTGACATACCACAGTGTTATTCCACCAGGATCCTGGCTGACAGACCACAGTGTTATTCCACCAGGAGCCTGGCTGACAGACCACAGTGTTATTCCACCAGGAGCCTGTCTGACAGACCACAGTGTTATTCCACCAGGATCCTGGCTGACAGACCACAGTGTTATTCCACCAGGAGCCTGGCTGACAGACCACAGTGTTATTCCACCAGGAGCCTGTCTGACAGACCACAGTGTTATTCCACCAGGATCCTGGCTGACAGACCACAGTGTTGTTCCACCAGGAGCCTGGCTGACAGACCACAGTGTTATTCCACCAGGAGCCTGTCTGACAGACCACAGTGTTATTCCACCAGGAGCCTGGCTGACAGACCACAGTGTTATTCCACCAGGATCCTGGCTGACAGACCACAGTGTTATTCCACCAGGATCCTGGCTGACAGACCACAGTGTTATTCCACCAGGATCCTGGCTGACAGACAGGTTGTACAGGCTGCAGTGAGCAGCCAGGGACTCACACACACACTACCGCTGAGCGATTAGTGCTTTTTGTGGTCTGTTCGGTTTTAGTTCGATTATTACAAAATAATCACGGTTTTCGATTTCACATTAAACATTAAACCTTAAATGAACTATGCATTATTATGTGGGTTGAAGGCTGTAGCAACACAGAATAAATCAATGAATAAATGTCTCATGATGGTAGGGCCTGCCTACTACTGCTTATCTGCCAATGTGCGCATTGAGCTCAAAGAAAACAAACGGAATGAAAAGGAATTCAAATAATTGAACCTACATTGGTCAATTAGTTGTTTAAAAACTGAACAGTAACTGATATTTCGGTTAATGCTCAGCACTAACACACACACACACACTACGGCAAGGGGCCTGTATTAATTAAGATCACTTCATTGGTCAATTGTACACAATGTCCAACCAACATTTTGTCTTCTGTTTTTAACCCAACTCCTTCGAAAGACACACACACACAGACAGACATACAGGCATACATAAAGACATACAGACAGGCATACATATACAGGTTTTGGACAGGTGTGGGGGACTACCACACTAGGGCACAACAGCAGGCAATTACATTTTGCTGGCTCACCTCTCTAACCACTAGGATACCTGCCACCCCTCAGACCAGTCATTCAACTCTTCCAGGCAGCCCAAATGGCACCCTATTTAATATATAGTGCACTACTTTTGACCAGAGCCCTATGGGTGAGACCAGGGGACAGGTGGAGCTCTATAAGCCCTTGTCAAAAGTAGTGCACTACAATGGGAATAGGGTGCCAGTAAGGTCGCTGGTTCTAATCCCCGAGCCGACTGGGCAAAAAATGTCGATGTGCCCTTGAGCATGGCACTTAACCCTAATTGCTCCTGTGTAAGTCGCTCTGGATAAGAGCGTCTGCTAAATGACTAAAATGTAAATTTGGGACAAAGCCATAGACAGGGCCCGTGTGAATCTGAATGGCCTCTAGTTTAAAGAGAGGTACTACCAAAAAGAGACCCCCCCCCTGGTCTCAACCTGTTTGACACTCATAATGACAACACTATCTGGTAAGGCTGGCGGGTTACTTACTGAAGAGATCAGGTGTAATTTAGCCAGGTTGGTAAGTATGTGTGACATTAAACTGGATGTGTGATGACCGGGAACCAAGGTTGAGTGAGGGTGACACGGATATATGGTGAATAGTTACACCACCTTGATGTCATGGATGCAGCTCCCACTCCCCAGGGAGGGACTCTCTCTACAGCACCTAGCCAGGCCGCAGCTCCCACTCCCCAGGGAGGGACTCTCTCTAATGCACCTAGCCAGGCTGCGTCTCCCACTCCCCAGGGAGGGACTCTCTCTACAGCACCTAGCCAGGCCGCAGCTCCCACTCCCCAGGGAGGGACTCTCTCTACAGCACCTAGCCAGGCCGCAGCTCCCACTCCCCAGGGAGGGACTCTCTCTACAGCACCTAGCCAGGCCGCAGCTCCCACTCCCCAGGGAGGGACTCTCTCTACAGCCACCTAGCCAGGCTGCGTCTCCCAATCCCCAGGGAGAGACTCTCTCTACAGCACCTAGCCAGGCTGCGTCTCCCACTCCCCAGGGAGGGACTCTCTCTACAGCACCTAGCCAGGCCGCAGCTCCCACTCCTCAGGGAGGGACTCTCTCTACAGCACCTAGCCAGGCTGCGTCTCCGGATCCGGCTCCAGGAGGCTTAGCCCCCTCAGATCAAACTTGATCCCTGTGACACTCTGGCTCCGGGACTTTTGTATTTGAGCCAGGGTGTATTTTGTTATGTTGGGTTGGGTTGTATTTCTAGGTTGCCTTTCTGTTGGCTTCATTTCTAGGTTTGGTCTATGACTCCCCAATCGGAGGTAACGAGTGTCAGCTGTCGGCTCGTTATCTCTGATTGGGAGCCATATTTAATCTGAATGTTTTCCTGTGGGAATTGTGGGTTTTTGTTCCGTTTCGGTCAGTGTACCGTGGACTTCATTGAGTCGTCTTTTGTTTTGTAGTTCTATAACGTTTAATTAATAAAGTCATGTTTCTTGGACACGCTGCGCCTTGGTCATACTTAGACGACATAGACGACCGTGACAGAAAAACCCACCATAATAGGACCAAGCAGCGTGTCAAGCGGCAACAGGACCCTGCTCCTAAGGATTCATGGACATGAGGGGAGATACTGGCTGGAAAGGGTCCTTGGGCACAACCGGGAGAATATCGCCGCCCTCGTGAAGAGCTGGAGGCCAGCTAAAGCCGAGAGGAGGCGGTATATGAGGAGGCAGCACGGAGTCAAGGCTGGAAGCCCGTGGGTACCACCCAAAAATTTATTGGGGGGGGGCTTAAAGGGAGTGTGGCGAAGTCAGGTAGGAGAACCTGCGCCTACTCCCTGGACTTACGTGGAGAGCGAGAGTACGGGCAGACACCGTGTTACGCAGTAGAGCGCATGGTGTCTCCTGTACGCAGGCATAGCCCGGTTCGGTACATTCCAGCTCCACGTATCGGCCGGGGTTAGAGTGAGCGTTGAGCCAGATGTCATGAAGCCGGCCCCAACGCATCCGGCTACCAGTGCGTCTTCTCGGGCCGGCGTACATGGCACCAGCCTTACGCATGGTGTTCCCGGTTCGCCCACATAGGCCGGTGCGGGTTATTCCACCTCCCCGTACTGGTCGGGCGACGGGGAGCATCAACCCGGGTAAGGTTGGGCAGGCTCAGTGCTCAAGGGGGCCAGTAAGCCTGCACGGTCCGGTATTTCCGGCGCCACCTCCCCGCTCCAGCCCAGTACCACCAGTGCCCTACACCACGCACCAAGCCTCCTGTGTGTTCCCCGAGTCCTGTGCGTCCTGTTGCTGCTCTCCGCCACTAGGCCTTATGTGCGTCCCCAGGGTCCAGCATTGCCCTGTTGCTTCTCCCCGCACTAGCTCTGAGATGCGTGTCCTCAGCCCGGTACCTCCAGTTCCGGCACCACGCACCAGGCCTACGGTGCGCCTCAGACGGCCAGAGTCTGCCGTCTGCCCAACGGGGCCCTGAACTGCCCGTCTGCCCAAAGGCGCTGAACTGGCCGTCTGGACTGAGCCTGCAAAGCCGCCCGTCTGCCATGAGCCTTCAGAGCCGTCCGCCAGACCGGAGCCGCTAGAGCCTTCCGCCAGACAGGATCAGACAGAGCCTTCCGCCAGACAGGATCAGCCAGAGTCTTCCGCCAGCCATGAGCAGCCAGATCCGTCAGCCGGCCATGAGCAGCCAGATCCGTCAGCCAGCCATGAGCAGCCAGATCCTTCAGCCAGCCATGAGCAGCCAGATCCGTCGGCCAGCCATGAGCAGCCAGATCCGTCGGCCAGCCATGAGCAGCCAGATCCGTCAGCCAGCCATGAGCAGCCAGATCCGTCAGCCAGCCATGAGCAGCCAGATCCTTCAGCCAGCCATGAGCCGTCCAGCCAGGATCCGCCAGAGCCAGCCAGCCAGGATCCGCCATTGAGTCCGGTGCTGTCCCTTAGGCCCGGTGCTGCCCCTTATACTGGTGCTGCCCCTTAGTCCGGGTGCTGCCCTTTAGTCCGGTGACGCCCCTTAATCCAGTGGGGTTTAGTTGGGGGGTGGTCATGTGGAGGAGGCTACGGAGGCAGATAGTGACTAAGGTGGGGTGGGGAACCACGACCAGGGCCAGAAACCGCCACCGTGGACAGACGCCCACCCAGACCCTCCCCTAGACTGTATGCTGGTGCGCCCGGAGTTCGCACCTTTAGGGGGGGGGTACTGTGACACTCTGGCTCCGGGACTTTTGTATTTGAGCCAGGGTGTATTTTGTTATGTTGGGTTTGGGGTGTATTTCTAGGTTTGCCTTTCTGTTGGCTTCATTTCTAGGTTTGGTCTATGACTCCCAATCGGAGGTAACGAGTGTCAGCTGTCGGCTCGTTGTTATCTCTGATTGGGAGCCATATTTAATCTGAATGTTTTCCTGTGGGAATTGTGGGTTTTTGTTCCGTTTCGGTCAGTGTACCGTGGACTTCATTGAGTCGTCTTTTGTTTTGTAGTTCTATAACGTTTAATTAATAAAGTCATGTTTCTTGGACACGCTGCGCCTTGGTCATACTTAGACGACATAGACGACCGTGACAATCCCCCTCAGTTTTAGTTTCAGTGTCCATATATATAAAAATAGTAACAAAGTTAAAATGATTGTGACAGGTTGGCGCCCCAAAAAAATCAGTATCTCCGCTTGCGTTAGCACAATGGACACAGCGTGCCACGGTTTGTGTCGGGAGGCTATGGACACTGGGCAGTTAGGTATAAAAAAACGGGGGGGAAAATGCTTCTCATCTCTCACCTCTGAGCAGCATGATTTTCCATGTTTGAAGCAAGACAGCTGTGCATAGCTTCATCTCACTGTAGTAGGCTGTAGGCTATGTTTTGGTTATTAGGATCTCCATTCGCCTTTTGTTTACTGTGTTTGTTTACTGTTAATGCAACTATCCTAAATGTAAATTGTGTCACGCCTTTATCGATCTGATATTTTATTTACTAGGCCTACTTGGTACCGCTGTTTTGTTCTGTTTTCACTCATTTGTTCGCATTCCCAGTATTCTAACCCAAACTGCTATTTAGCATTTTTGTTTGCATGCATGAATAACTAGGCTCCTACTTTCAGCATTTAGTTTGCATTATTGTGTTAAGAGAGCTCCAACATAATCCAGGTAGAATCAGGAATTCCCCAGGGCAGCTGTCTAGGCCCCTTTTTTTTTTTCAATTTTTACCAATGACATGCCACTGGCTTTGAGTAAAGCCAGTGTGTCTATGTATGCGGATGACTCAACACTATACACGTCAGCTACTACAGCGACTGAAATATCTGCAACACTTAACAAAGAGCTGCAGTTAGTTTCAGAATGGGTGGCAAGGAATAAGTTAGTCCTAAATATTTCAAAAAGCATTCACTAAACCCTAAACCTCAACTAAATCTTGTAATGAATAATGTGGAAATTGAGCAAGTTGAGGTGACTAAACTGCTTGGAGTAACCCTGGATTGTAAACTGTCATGGTCAAAACAAATTGATACAACAGTAGCTAAGATGGGGAGAAGTCTGTCCATAGTAAAGTGCTCCTCTGCCTTCTTAACAGCACTATCAACAAGGCAGGTCCTACAGGCCCTAGTTTTGTCGCACCTGGACTACTGTTCAGTCGTGTGGTCAGGTGCCACAAAGAGGGACTTGGATGTACACAGAGAGCTAAGATTCATAACATGCATGTCAATCTCTCCTGGCTCAAAGTGGAGGAGAGATTGACTTCATCACTACTTGTATTTGTGAGAGGTATTGACATGTTGAATGCACCGAGCTGTCTGTTTGAACTACTGGCACACAGCTCAGACACCCAGGCATACCCCACAAGACATGCCACCAGAGGTCTCTTCACAGTCCCCAAGTCAAGAACAGACTATGGGAGGAGCACAGTACTACACAGAGCCATGACTACATGGAACTCTATTCCACATCAAGTAACTCATGCAAGCAGTAAAGTTAGATTTAAAAAAAAAAACAGATACAAATACACCTTATGGAACACTTAATGTGTTGTGAAATCTGTTGTGAATGTATTGTAATGTTTTTAAAATTGTATAACTGCCTTCATTTTGCTGAGCCCCAGGAAGAGTAGTCGCTGCCTTGGCAGGAACTAATGAGGATCCATAATAAACCCCAGGAAGAGTAGCTGCTGTCTTGGCAGGAACTAATGGGGATCCATAATAAACCCCAGGAAGAGTAGCTGCTGCCTTGGCAGGAACTAATGGGGATCCATAATAAACCCCAGGAAGAGTAGCTGCTGCCTTGGCAGGAACTAATGGAGGGATCCATAATAAACCCCAGGAAGAGTAGCTGCTGCCTTGGCAAGGAACTAATGGGGATCCAATAATAAACCCCAGGAAGAGTAGCTGCTGCCTTGGCAGGAAACTAATGGGGATCCATAATAAACCCCAGGAAGAGTAGCTGCTGCCTTGGGCAGAAACTAATGGGGATCCATAATAAACCCCAGGAAGAGTAGCTGCTGCCTTGGCAGGAACTAATGAGGATCCATAATAAATACAAATACAAATACAGCTGTGTGTACGGTTTGTAATATGTGAATTGCCCTATCTACACTACATGACCAAAAGTATGTCGACACCTGCTTGTCGAACTAATTCCAAAATCATGGGCATTGATATGGAGTTGGTCCCCCCTTTGCTCCTATAACAGCCTCCACTCTTCTGGAAAGGCTTTCCACTAGATGTTGGAACATTGCTGCGGGGACTTGCTTCCATTCAGCCACAAAAGCATTAGTGACGTCGGGCACTGATGTTGGGCGATTAGGCCTGGCTCGCAGTAGGATTTCCAATTCATCCAAAAGGTGTTTGATTGGGTTGAGGTCAGGGCTCTGTGCAGGCCAGTCAAGTTCTTCCACACCAATCTTGACAAACCATTTCTGTATGGACCTCGCTTTGTGCAAGGGGGCATTGTCATGCTGAAACAGGAAAGGGCCTTCCCCAAGCTGTTGCCACAAAGTTGGAAGCACAGATTCGTCTAGAATGTCATTGTACGCTATAGCGTTAAGATTTCCCTTCACTGGAACTAAGGGGCCTAGCCCGAACCATGAAAAACAGCCCCAGACCATTATTCCTCCTCCACCAAACTTTATAGTTGGCACTATGCAATCCACTAATTTGAAGGGGTGTCCACATACTTTTGTATATATAGTGTATCGTGTAGCCTATTTTCATTACCAAAATGGCATAGCTGTAGGGCGCTGTCCATTGTGCTGATACAGTGCAGCAGCGATACAGATTTCAAAAGCGCTCAATGATCTTGGAGTCTCTGCATTTTAACTTTCTGTTTGTTGTGGTATAGTGTGATTATATAATCAGAATTCAATATAATTCCAATGCAAGAATGTTGCCCCCTCGCCGATTTCAACTGCCCCCGTAGTCACTTTATCCTGGCGCCGGGTCTTACGGAAACATCTGTAGTGTCCGATCGGTTTGACCTACAAAATATTTTAGGACCACTCCACTGTTTTGCTCTACCACCCCCACAGGGTGCCAGGAGACTCGTCTGAAGTCGGTACCGTCGATGTGCCAACTTCTGTTTGGTAGCGTCCGAACCGTTTCGTCTACAAACACGATGGTGTCACAGGACTTGTCTGAACGTAACCGGTACCGGTAAAAAAAAATAAAAAATAGAAGTATGAAGGTTGTTTTGTGCCTACCCAGAAAAGGGGTTAAATACTGTATGTGTAAATATATATATATATATATATATATTTCCTGAGATTTCTTATATCTCCTAGATTTAGGACAGACACTTCAAAACCTTGTTTCTTATTATTAATTTTTTGGACTGTCATTTTTGCCATTAATTGATGTGTTATTCAATGTGTTACTGTGGGTCTGTGCGGCTCCCAGGGGAGGGACTCTCTGTCTGCTCCATCACCTGCTCTTAACACCAGGTCCAGCTGCTGCTAGCCCCGTCCGTCTCAGCCACAGTAGTAAGCTGTCCATTGTTGCTGAGAGGTGCCAAAAGATGCCCCTGTGTAAATGTTGAGTATGGGGAAGCAGGAGGATGCAGGAGGATGCAGTCGATGAAGCAATCAGACAGGCATCATTTTATTCCCTCCTTCCCCCCTCCCATCTCAGCCATGACAGGGAGAATACATCAAAGAGACAGACGTGTCAACTCATATCCTCATATCCTACTAAGTTCACTTCCCCATCCGAGTATCCCAGCCACAGACATATTCTTTATCCCAAATCCGAATCCTTAGTGTGATTAACAACCTTGTGTTGTCCAACTTTTCCTCCTTTTTTTTTTTGGCGGAGAAATCCGCAATGCGACAGTGTGGAAATATCTGATGTTGTCCTCCTCCTCAAAGAGAACCCATTTCCCCAAAAAAAACGTATCCTTCTTCCACTTCCATCCACAGAAGTGGAAAAGTGATGGTCCCATTCTCCCTAATGTGTAATAATAAAGCAGTCAGAGTTCAACACAGAGAGACGCTCTTCTTCGCTGTGGTAAAACCCCAATAGTACCGTTTTCTTCCTGTCTCTCCAATGGGAGTGATGTCTCTCTTGTTTCAGGGCAGCCAGATACAGACAGCGCCTGGCAGACGACGCTGTCTGCGGCATCGATGTGACAAGCGTCCAAACAATACAAAAGGAGGAGAGAGGCTGCAGCAGCAAAACGAGGTTCGTGTTTCTCTGGCTTTACATTTCTGTCTCGCTCTTCGTCGCTCCACCTCATCACGATTTCGGACTCTCTTTTGGGAGGGATTTTATTTTCAGTGTTCTGTCGACAGTCGGCTGTTGAGGGGAGAAGGTGGTGGTGTAAAGCTGTTCAGTTCTGTGCTCTTCTGACGCGGCAGAGGAAGCCCTATATCATGGAGCCTAGACACTTCTCAGACTCACTAAGACTAAACACTTCTCAGACTCACTAAGACTAAACACTTCTCAGACTCACTAAGACTAAACACGTCTCAGACTCACTAAGACTAAACACTTCTCAGACTCACTAAGACTAAACACTTCTCAGACTCACTAAGACTAAACACTTCTCAGACTCACTAAGACTAAACACTTCTCAGACTCACTAAGACTAAACACTTCTCAGACTCACTAAGATTAAACACATCTCAGACTCACTAAGACTAGACACTTTTCAGTATAAAGCACAACAATTACCTCAACATATTTCAACTTCATCTACATATTTCATCATTACGATGTTTAACCCGCTAGAGTCGATTGACGCACCAGGTACATAACAGAAAAATCCCCATCGAAACCCGTCAGTTTAAGCTGGAGATATCTGTTTGTTTGTTTTTCCCGAAAATCGGTCTTCTTATGTAAACAATCTGTAGCGTCCGAACGGTTTGACCTACAAAAGATTTTAGGACCACTCCACTGTTTTGCTCTACGGTTCCCACAGGTGCCAGGAGACTCGTCTGAAGTCGGTACCGTCGATGTGCCAACTTCTGTTTGGTAGCGTCCGAACCGTTTCGTCTACAAACACGATGGTGTCACAGGACTTGTCTGAAGGTAACCGGTACCGGTAAAAAAAACAAAAATGGAAGTATTAAGGTAGTTTTGTGCCTACCCCCAAAAAGGGGTTAAATATGTGTATAAAAAAAAACTAGCAAAATATGTCCTTTTTTAAAATCTCCTAGATTTAGGACAGACACTTCAAAACCTTGTTTCTTGTGTTTTATTATTTGACTGTCCTTTTTGCCATTTATGAATGTGTTATTCAATGCGTTTCTATGGGCTTTAGTAGTAAATGCCAAAATGTTATCCACCGCTCCAGTCAAATTGTGCTCCGCTCCTCGCTCCACTCCAGCTCCGCTCCGCTCCTCGCTCCACTCCAGCTCCGCTCCTCGCTCCACTCCAGCTCCGCTCCGCTCCTCGCTCCACTCCAGCTCCGCTCCTCGCTCCACTCCAGCTCCCCTCCGTTCCTCGCTCCACTCCAGCTCCGCTCCTAGCTCCACTCCAGCTCCGCTCCTTGCTCCACTCCAGCTCCGCTCCGCTCCTCGCTCGACTCCAGCTCCGCTCCGCTCCTCGCTCCACTCCAGCTCCGCTCCGCTCCTCGCTCCACTCCAGCTCCGCTCCTCGCTCCACTCCAGCTCCACTCCAGCTCCGCTCCGCTCCAGCTCCGTTCCTCGCTCCACTCCAGCTCCGCTCCTAGCTCCACTCCAGCTCCGCTCCGCTCCTCGCTCCATTCCAGCTCCGCTCCTCGCTCCACTCCAGCTCCGCTCCGCTCCTCGCTCCACTCCAGCTCCGCTCCTCGCTCCACTCCAGCTCCGCTCCGCTCACATACTACGCTTGAATTGCCTGCCAATGTTGTTCTTCTCAGACCATTTTGAAATTATATTTCAACATTTTAGGTGTATCATCACACTGGTAAAATATAATTTGTATTGAGTGAGCATAATAATTTGCTTTTTTATTTTTATTGGACTGATGGCCTGCATCTGATGGTCAGTCTGAGGGGAGCAGCGGTGAGGCTGCCTCTCACCCAACTCACCGTCCCTCCTCTCTCCCTCCCTCTACTGAGAAAAGGGGACACAGTCTTCCAGCTGACGGCAAAGTTTAAGACACACAGCATTACTTTTTTTCTCATGCACCAATTAATGTTGTTACTCCTATGACCAGAGAAAATGAAATATTCCTTGATATTAAAAAAGACCCAATAAATAATAACAACGCAAGCTTATCGAAGCGCACATTTCATGGCTTATAAAACAGTTGAACAAAGTGTTGACAGTGCTGAATAACAACTTTAACAACTTACTCATAAAAACAGCAGCTTTTTTGCCGTATTCATTGAGTCTCTCTCTAGTCATAGTTTTAAACATTTTCAAATCTCACATTATCAACTTTGCTGTGCATACGAGGCTTCTTTTTACAGTCTATGGCATAAGGAAACTGTGCAGACACAGTGATCTGAGCTATCTGATTGGCCAGCGGTAGGCCTATAGGTGCACTTGATTTGCTCTCTGGGCCTGCTTCGTAGGCAGAGTTCTACCTTCCGATGGCCCCACCTGTTTTTTGTTGCCTGTTTTGCATTGTATTTTAGCATCACATATCAATTTACAAACAATGTAAAACATTTTTTTTTTTTTTTTACAAATGGAGTTAATAAAGCCGCATACAAACATGGTCTCTTTTTTTGCTTTCTTGAGTAAGGCGCCTCCAAAATGCAGGTGTTTCAGCCTAGCTCAGTGATTTCTGTGGTGGGGCAGCCAGTAGAAAATACAGAGCGTAGGGGTTGGTAATGTTCTCTAGCTGTGCTGTGATTGGCTCAGTGTTCTGTCACTTATGGGGACACTACTTCACCTGCAAAATCTACAGGGAGCGCTAGAAAGTTCAAGCCCCCTTGGGTGCTGCCATAGAGTTACATTAGAAGTGACCATCCAGGAAGGCTCAAGGTCATTGGCCACAGATAAATTTACACCAAATCACGTTTTATCTACAGTTGCTTTGATTGGACTGATCATGTCAACATCATACTTTCAAAATCTTAGCTAGCATGCTAGACAAGCAGTCATCTTCATGAATCAAGTCGACAATCTACTGGCAATTCCTTTTTCAATCCTTGTCATATGAAGAGAAATTATAGATAAAACGTATCGGTGCTCATCGGCCATTGGACATAAACATTACACAACAAGTTGGAAATTCAACAATGAGTGGTTTGGAAGGAATCAGTGGTTAACTGAAAGCGTTGCAAAGCAATCACTAGGCTGCTATTCAGTGGAGTGGATGTGTGCCTCACCCTAATAATTTAGTCCCTTTCCCCCTCAGAATTTAGCCTACTGTTCTGACTTGGTGGTGCACATGTAGCCTATAGCCTGTTTTAGAGAAATGTCATCATCGAATATTGCCCCCTTTATTTATCCAACGGTTCTGACTTGGTGTACAGGGAGAATACTGTAAGAAAGGCCCATTTTCTGAATTCTGTCGCTGTACATTTCAAAAGTGCTGAACAAATAGTTATGTTGACTACGTCCGTCCTAGCTCGCTCATTAATGTCTTAATCGATATTACGGATTGCCTCTTATCCGCTCGTCGTCCCCTTATGCCATAGTTTGTACATCTCAATTGTCAGCAGAAACCACATTTGTTTAAGCAAGTCAGCCATATCAGCTATGTTTTTTTTTTTTCAAAGGCAGTAAATTAGGCTGAATGAACTGTTTCGCTGCCAGACCAGGCTCCGCTGATAGCCAGGTGTAGCGGTGGTAAGGTGTTGAGACTGCTGTTGGGACAGCTTTATGGAGGCCCTAACAGTGTGTGGGCACCGTTTGTCACCGTTATAGTGCAATTAATGTATTGTTTAGTGTTGTGTTGTGTAGTGTAGTGGCTTTGCTGGCATGCATCCCAAAAAATAAATGTTGAGTTTGCCCCGCCAAGATTTCCATGCTAAAATTGCCACTGCTACCTTCAGACACATGAAATGGTTCAAAACGGGAACACTCTGCCTTCCCGGTACTAAGGCTGCTGAATCAAGTGGACCTATCGTCAACAGCGCGAAACAAATAAAAAAATAGGAACGCGAGGTGTTGGTGATCGACTAAGAATGGCTCGCAATTGACAGGTTGGTGACCACTGCTCTGCACTATACTTGCTTGTTTTGACACATAAACTGAAATTAGGCCAACTATTAGAAGTATTAGTGCATCTGTAGAGTGGTTAAGGTTAGGGCTATGGTTTGGGGAAGGCTTGATATAAAAAAAGACCCAATAAATAATAACAACGCAAGCTTATCTGTCACGCTCTGGCTCCGGGACTGTGTAGTTTGAGCCAGGGTGTATTCATTTGGTTGTGTTGGGTATAGGGTGTGTTCATTTGGTTGTGTTTGGTTTTGGTTGTAGTGTCTTGTCTCGTCATGTGACTCCCAATCGGAGGTAACGAGTGTCAGCTGTCGGCTCGTTATCTCTGATTGGGAGCCATATTTAAACTATCAGTGTTCACCTTAGGGTTGTGGGTTTTTGTTCCATGTTTCAGTCTGTGTACTGAGGACTTCACTATCCGTCATTGTTTATTGTTTTCTCGTTCGTGCACTTTAACTTTAATAAAGTCATGTTCGCTACAAACGCTGCGCTTTGGTCCACTCCTTCCGTAGACGGCCGTGACAGAAAAACCCACCAAAAAAGGACCAAGCAGCGTGTCCAGGAGCAAGGAGACTGGACATGGGAGGAAGCGCCGGGTAAGGAGATCGAGAGGCTGGCGATGGCCCAGGTGGGCAAATCGTGGTCCTGGGAGGACATGCTCGGGGGCAAGGGACCTTGGGGGAGGATCAAGGCCCTGGCGAGAGAGGAGCAACGGCGTCAGCAGGGCCATCGTCGGAAGGACGAGAGGCAACCCCAAAAAGTTTTTTGGGGGGGGCACATGGCTTGGGCGGCTGGGCAGCAGGAGGCTGCCACAGGGAGACGTGGAGAGAAGGCTACCGGATTACGGGAGCCATTGGCGAGTAGAGGGAGGGAAGTAGTGGAGGCACGGCGTGAGAGACTGAGGTGTGTTACCAGTCCGGTCCGGCCCGTTCCTGATCCCCGGTTAAGGCCAGTGGTGTGTGTTCCCAGTATGGACCGGCCTGTTCCTACTCCACGCACCAAGTCCACGGTGTGCGTCGCCAG